ACCTACACACAACTGAAGTGACTTCTCTGAGGGTGCCAGGCCCTGTCTCTCCAATGCCCGCACCAAAAGCAAACCTGAAGACCCCTTAAGCGATAGAGAAAAGACAAGAGAATCTAACCTCCTGACCGCTTATTTCATCTAGGTCCAGACTCTGTCCCAGAGTGAGAGGGGGCCGTGTGGACATATTCCACCTCCCACTCACTTCCCAGACTGCACTCCCACAGGAAACCATATAAAAGCCTTCAGTGTTGTTCTTCGGCCCAGTCCTTCCTGGGTAGTACCTAGCAGAATTCCCCACCACTCTGCATCAGAGTGCCATTGCTCTTTCCTCTGTTAGAGTGCTTCACCAGCCATTTAAGTGGTAAAACTGGCATGGAAAGGAAGGGGCTGAGTTCCTAAGTGCTTACTTTGGAATCTCAAAAGCAGTATTTTGGGATGATTAATCTGCACTTGCTGTACACATGCAATTTAAAAGGACTGGTTGGGACTTCTGAAGTCAGTGGTCTGCTGGGAAGTCTGTGGTTAGCATTTGGTGCTCAGAGTTCCAGTTCTGGCTTGGTCACCTGTGTACCCGCCTACACTTGTAGCCCATCCTACACTCTATTCCTGAACTTTCTAGCATGAAAGCTTTACAACTACGAATTACAATAACCACTTTTAGAAATATATTGAGTACTCCCTATATAGGATGGATAGACATCAGACTCAACCATGTTTCTTCAAATCATACAATGAAAGATTGAAAGATGGACAGATAATGGTTCATCTACAGCACAACAAGGAGGTTGGACCATCACAACTCCTGAGTACTTTTCCTAGAATCTTCTCATTACAACGGCTCACATAAGAAAAAGCTGTAACATACATACATGTGTCTTAATGGATGTTTATTTTTATGTCCTTCTGCCATTTATTCCTGAGCAGGGTTCACACTGTTGACCTCCACAAATATATCATCATATGTAGTAGCTACTCAGTTGAACCTGACTGCTTAGCTCTTGATACCTTCCTCCTCCTAATCCTAAAGTCTTTAACAAACACTACTGTCTTAGGTGCTGGCACAGGAAAACTTTAAAAATTCCCACTAAAGCTGGACGTGCTAAGACCTACCTTTATTCCCAGCACTCTGGAGGCAGAAGCAGGAAGATTACTGAGTTTGAAGCCAGCCTGGTCTACTGAGCCAGTTCCAGGACAGCCAGGGCTACACAGACAAATCCTGCCTCAAAAAACAAAAACCAAAATTCTCACTAAGGTCACTTGATGCAAAGTGACTTAAGTACTGTAGTCTGGTCTCTCTCTTCCTCCTGCTTCTTCTCCTCGTTCTCCTCTGTCCCATCTTTTCCTGACCAACCCTATGCCTCCTCCTGTCCTTGAGGACCCCAGGACTACACACCTGCTAAGCATATTGTCTATCACTGAGCCAACAGCCCCCCCCCTTACTTTCTTAGAAGCTTCCCAAGTTAAAACTACTTTGATCTGGTTCATTCAAACCCATCATGAGCCTGTCAGTTCACCTGGTAATCTTTAACTTCCTTGAGTTTCTTTTCTCATATTTCTTGGGAAATACATGACTTGGAAAAGAAACATCACAAGGAAGAAACAGTTCATATGCATTTAGCTGTTCACAGCTGCCATCCCTTTTAATTCAGTTATTTTGTAGAAGAAATGCCACAAATACTATTGAAAGGAGGAGGTGAGATGGGCACTAAATTATAAAGTGTTGAGCATTAGAGGACAATTAAGAAAGGTGGTTGGTCCTAGGTAAACAGCTAGAAATAAGCAAGGGGGAAGGCAGAGAGGGAAGAAACGTCCACTCTCCTCACAGAACCGACACACTATTCTTAAGTGGGGTGGGGATCTATGAACGATAACAAGAGCTGCTGGACCAAGAGAGGACCAGAAAACGGCTGTGAAGCCAGACTAAAACACAAAGGCACTCATGAAGAAGCTTCCAACCGCATCAACAGAAAATAAGCTATCTTGGTGAATTTTTCGAGAGGGGCAGCGGGTTATGTTTCAAAGATGGGAAAAAGACTTGAATATTATCATAGCGAAACAGGACCCCAATGTTTTGATTTTCAACTCCCTCTGCACCCAAATCCAAGTGACATTCCATCTTTTATGTCCTATTGTTCTCCAAACTCAACCTCTAGGATGTGGAAACTTTGATGATGCTCTTGGAAACTGCTTCTGCCTGGCTGATGCCAGCCTCTGTGCTAGAGAAGCTTGAAGTTCAACCCAAAAGCACAGGGCTTGGCATGGGGAAATGCTCATTACAACTTCTCATTAGCTATGCCTCTTAGGGCAACAGTGGCATTCTTGAGCGTGACTCAGTCCCACCCGTCAGAAAGGACGGCTCTTGGTTAATCTGAGCTGAGCCGAAATGAAGGCTATAACAAGATGGGAACGAATGGAGCAACACAGCTTACAGGAACCCAGTAGAAAGGTTACATGAAATCCCCTCGGTTGCTGTCTCACTGTCAACCACAACAGCGTGGAAGCCGCAGTCAGCACGCGCTGTGAGGCACTCACTGCACTGGGCTCAACATCTCAGAGCTCACTTCTCCTCAGGATCCCTTTAGCCAGGTACTACTGCCAGTATTCCTATTATTTTTTTAATTTAAACATTTATTTTAGCTGATTTATTTAATATACATTAGTGTTTTGCCTGCATGTATGTCCGTGTAAGGGTGTCAGATCCCCTGGAAGTGGAGTTACAGGTAGTTGTGAGCTGCCATGTGGGTGCTGGGAATTGGACCCAGGTCCTCTGAAAGAGCAGCCAGTGCTCTTAACCGCTGAGCTGTCTCTCCAGTCCCATTATTCCTATTTTAAAGAAGGGAACTGAATCACAGAGAGGTGAGAAAGCTGTTAGGATGGCCAGGACCAATAATTGCTCTAGAAGAGCAAGAATGGACCAAATGATGTTCATGATTCTGATTCCAGGAGTCATGAAAATTTCTGTGGATTAAAATGACCACACTGCTTGTGTCAAAAAACAAACAAAAAACAAAAACTACTTCACTGATCCAAAGAAAATATAAAGTTTAGCTCACAATACTGCACTGGCAGCAGCTTTAGAGTCTGGTGCACTCTTCAAATGCTGAATGACCTCAGCCTGCATACCGGAACGAGGTAACAATGAGCAAGGCCACCTCAGGACTGACTGTGCCATCCCTATAACTTTTAAGACTAAAATTAATGTAACTCATTGAGTCAGTTTAGAAAAAAAAAACCAACAACAACAACCAAAAACCCCTACACTATTCATTTAAGTGAGACGAGGACTTAGCTCATGAAAACCCTGTGCAAGCCTGATGACCTGAGTTCAGTCCCTGAAGCCACGGTGGCAGGACAGCAGCAGCTCCCCAACGTTGTCCCTGACCTCCACATGTGTCATAGTATATGTGGGTCCATCCCGCTCTCCTCTCCCCCCGCTACTCCCACAGTGATGACAGAAAATATCCTTAACATCGGGCATTCTACACGAGAGAGAACGGAGGGCTCCTCCAGTGCTGACTTAGCTCCCCAGATTTACACTAGTTTTAAGGGCGAATTGGAAACTATTTGCTGGAACAATGCCTCACAGCATGCCTTCTGATACTTGGATTATATTTCTTAAATTCTGAAGAAATCTTTGCTTCCCCCCTTCTGTGCATTTTTGATGCTGAGCTGTTTCCGGTTTTCCCACACTCCTGCCTGTCACAAAGAAGAAACCACAAAAATTCAGCAAAGCAGAATTTGTCCAAAGAGCTGCAATTCCATCCCTGGAGTCTGCAGGGCTCCCCTGCCAGCAGCAAGTTCAAGGCAGCAAGCTGGGCCTTCAAATTTCCGTCCCTGCCACCCAAGTCCAGCTCTTCACTAGCACCACCCAGCCCCCCAGGCCTATGCCGGATAGTCCACAAGAACATATCAGCAGATTCAACACTTGCTTTCAGATGGTTAGCTGTGAGCTTCTTAATGCTGCAGAGTGTCTTAAACATCCATCAGAGGATAATTACAGCGCACTTAGTTCCTGTTTATCTAGTTACCGATGAAGTAGGTGATTACTGCCTCATTATTGCAAAGGAGGAAACCAAGTGACCAGTAAAACGTGTAATGGGTGGGAATGTGGTAGACTGCACCAGGGACTGCACTCTTTAGGGTCTGATCTGACCTTCTGTACCATTCCACTGCCCTTCACTCGTGCTCCAGAGAGCGGGAGGTCACTGCTGTGCCAGCTCTCCCACTCTTTAGTGCTCAGCAGGTACCGAGGAAGTATTTGTTGGGTAAATGGATAATGAGAGCAATGTGATCATATTGAGAACCATAGGGGATTGTTTTGACTCAAATCCACAACGTGATTCACCATCCAAAGGATGACAGCTAAAATTGACCGTGTGAAAGGCAGCCACATGAGAAATCTTAATGAGAAAGAGCAATGCATAAATACCCCTAGGTCTCCTGTTTGGTATAAAATAGGTGGCCTACGAAAGGCATCAGAAATACCATTGCTACACAGCTCTTTGATTAGCACTGATAAAGTTAACTGCCTAGACACGAATGCGTAAATAAGAGGAGGGCTGAGTGTGACAAGAAATGGAAAGGATCTGATTCTGTAGTGTGAGCAGAGGAGACACCCCGAGGGAGACTTCTGTAGCCTCCTTTCTCCGAGCCAACAGCTCAGGACCATTATCTGGTGCACAGTCTGCAGCTCCTGTTAGAGACTGGCAGAACTGAGTAGCAATAACCTTGAACCTTGTAGGTACCTTAGCACAATTACCAGGGGACCTAAAGGTACAGTGGCTGCCCCCCTATAGGACAGAGCCCAGATACTACATAGTTTGACTCCTCCTCAGAAGATTCCAATTTGGAACCATGGCAGAGTCCCAAGTTTGACACTGTACTTCATCAGGTGTTGGGATTTCAACTCAAACGGTCTTGAAGGCTCTCTAACGAGCGAGCACTGCTGGCTGAGGATTGTCGCGACACCGGGAATTGCACATGCCATACGGAAAACTTACTTGGAAGCCCTCTGGGATGTGGCCTTTTTGAGCACTTGTTTGTGATTGGATGGGGGCTTGGAGACCAAGGTGGAGGAACTTGGAGGTGGCACCACTTTTTGTGGCAGGGTGTTTGGCTTCTGGCCACCAGCTGTGGCACTTGAAATTCTGCAGCCTGCACCATTATTCATCGTCCATAGACTGGCGTTAGGTAGTGTCTGGCTGCCAAAGATCGCCTGTAAGGAAAAGGAGAAAGTGATCGATGGAGGGCTCCTTCACCACCCCTGGTTGGATGCAACTGATCTGTAATCCTGAACAGGGGTAAAGAGGAAGGGACACGCTGGTAATTAAGTGTTAGGAGAAACTCCTCTCAGCTTGGCAGGACAGATCTGATTCAGAGAAGAGAGGTCTCTCAAAGAAGAGCTGCCAGGGCCTTCTGAAAACACTCTGACTGAGGAAATTAAGGCACCTGGGCACCGAGGGTTCGTCAATTTACATGCATGAGAAAAGCATTTGGTCTCTCAGCTTAGTTCCCTTTGCTGCTCAATTTAAGAAGTGTTTAATGAATGTCCTTCTGCGTCAGAGGAAAATGGCCTGGAAACATGGCTGGGATACTGCATTACTTCAGGACTAGAGGAAAGCAAAGAAGCCTGTGTGACCAGGGCACCCTGTGCTAACAGCTGGGGAAATGAGGCAGGAACAGACACTAGGAGCCAAGTCATGCATGACCTTGAGTGCTAGTTTCAGAATCCTAGGGCAGTAATACCTCACTGAACTAAACTTTAACATAAGATGTAACACTTGACAACGCTTGAAGTAAGTTTACTATATGAACACATCACCCAATGAAAACATGACTGGCACTCGGTGCCTTCTGCACAAGGTGGGCCCATAAAGACCCAGAACACCACTTAAACATGGCGAGAGCCACACAATCTGCAGAATATGAAGGTGCATTTCTTCCAAATGAATGCTTAGCAATACTTTTTCCACTTTTATATATGTGTGTGGTAGGCATGTACGTGCGTATTCATGTTTATAGGTGCATGGTACATGTGTGTGTGTGTGTGTGTGTGTGTGTGTGTTTGTGAGCATGTGGAGACCTGACCTTCATGCTGGGACTCATCCATGATAGCTCTTCCATTTTATTCACAGAGGCAGGGTCTCTTAAACCCAGAGCTCAGCGACATGCTAGTATTAGCCAGCCCGCTCCATGATTTCCTTGTCTGTCTTCTGAGGTTGAATTACAAACTGGTCACCATTCTCGCCTGGCATTTATGTGGGTTCTGGGAATCCAAACTTGGGTTCTCACGATTGTAAGGCAAACACTAATGAGGCATGCAAGTGTTCGGAGTCTGGGCTGCCACCTGGGCCAGATGGAGTCCAGGGACCATGCTGAGGCTGGGCTGATGCTGATTTGAGAGGCCTGTCCTCCTACCCAGGCCCCTGGTGAAATCCCAGCCCAAGCTGCTGCTGGTCATGTCTGGGTCCTGTGGTCTCCTGTAGCAGCTGGGGCCTGGGTTGATATCCATTGCCCATGTTAACACAGGGGCCCATGCAAATCAAGTATTGAAGCACCAGGACCGTGCAGAGCTGGTCTGCCCCTTCACTGGCCAGGGGAGACCCCCCTCCTCAACTCCGCCCCTCACCGGTCCTGGGATAATGGACCTGGATGACCAAGGCACAGGAGAGCAGGTATCACTCCTCACCTGTCAGGGGTGGTCCCAGCAGCCTACACAGACTTGGCTACCACTTAGGTACACATCCAGGGCTTTAAGTTGGCATCCCCAACATCTACCCTAATTGTGACCTGCTGGAGCAAGTAAGGGACTGGTCCTATGGAACCAGAGCGGCAGGATCTCTGGGAGGAGAGGAGTTTCGGTGAGGGTCTAGTATCCATGGCGGAGCAGAAGCCAGAGGCCTTGAACCTGACCGACAACACATTACACGATGAACGTTTACAAGGGAGGCTGTTTGGACAGAAGAGTAGACTTCATGAGACACTGCAGCTCCCAGGGTCACCAAGATGAATGAAGAGGCAGGAAAGAGGGAGAAGAGGATTTTTTTTTTTTGCTGTTGTCTGCTTTTTTTTTTTCATTTTACATTTGTTTTTTTAATTTCCTTTTTTTGTAAAAAAAATACTTATTTTTATTTTATGAGTATTGGTGTTTGACTGCATGTATGTCTGCGTGAAGGAGTCGGATCCCCTCGAACAGCAGTTACAGGCAGGTGTGAACTGCCATGTGTGTGTTGGGGATTGAACCCAAGTCCTCTGGAAGAGCAGTTAGTGCTCTTAACTGCTGAGCTATCTCTTTAGTCCCTTAATTGAAATTCTTGTTTGTAGCTTTTTCTATTTTTTATGATTTATTTTTAAGTTTTCCTGGGGGGGGGCTTATAAGGATGAAGGGCAGATATGGAGGGATTGGGAAATGAGTGGATTGGGGTGAGTGGATTTGGGGGATAAGAAATTCCCCCCAAATAAAAAATTATGTTTTTTGAAAAAGATGACTCAAGAGGCTGTGGGAAAATGTCTAGCAACTCTTCTCTATACTATGACTTTGGGATGCCTATTTTTGGGAACTGAGTCCCAAAGTCTGGCTAGGGAGATATGAGAGGGGTTTGAGGGCTCTTGTGTGGAGGAAAATCTCTGAGCTTGCCATGTCTTGTAGGCAGTTGTAGCTGTCTTCCTGGATTGTTGGAGGGCAAATGAAGACCACACAGATCACGCTCGCCCAGGCATTCAACAAAGGTGCCTGGAAATTAGCCAAAGCGTCACACACACACACACACACACACACACACACCCCAATGGACACAGCACACACTCATTCCTTCCCAAACCTCATCCTCAGTTTAAAGAGGAACCGAAGAGCATGCAAGCCCACCTATCTGTAATCCTCTGCGAATGGTGGTTGGTTATGCATTTTTCCAATAGGTTTTTTTTTTTTTGATCTTATGATGATGCTCACTAGCTGGGAACGCAAACTCTTAAAATGAAAACATATGTTTAGGTTCTCAGACCATATTTACTCAATTCTTTCTGGCAGAAATAATCCTTTCCTCCTCTGAGCAGTTATAAAGATGTATTCGTGAGGCTCTTATCAGTTAGGCCATCCTACGTGTACGGTGGCCATTTACAAACAAAGAAGAAGTTTTCTTCTTCTCTAGACAGTGCACAATGGCAATGGCTGCCTTTGTTTGATCCATTTTCTTCTTTTTTTTTTAAAATTGTTTTTATAAAAGTTTATCAGCTGGGAATTGGAGGTGGTACATGTCTTTAATCCCAGCACTTGGGCAGCAGAGATAAGCGGATCTCTGAATTTGAGGCCAGCCCAGTAACAGAGTGAGTTGTAGGCTACACAATGAGACCCCCGTCTCAAAAAAACAAACAAAAAAGTTTTTCAGAAGGTGTGTGTGTGTGTGTGAATGAGTGAGAGAGAGAAAGCACACGTGTGTGCACACACACAACCTTGCACATATGAATGCACAGGTGGAGGCTGGAAGTTAAGTTTGGGCGCAAGCTGGCCTTTAGGTAGGGACCAGGGATGGGAACCCAGGTCCCCATGTTTGTTCAGTAAATACTTTATTCGCTGAACCATCTCTCAAATCCTCACAATTAACTTCTATTGTACCCACAGTAACTTAGAGTGTCTGATGCTTAATAAATATTTACACCATGAAGAGCACACACAGACACACACACAGACACACACACACACACACAGACACACACACACACACACACAGACACACACACAGACACACACACAGACACACACACA